CTCTTGTTGCTCTTACATCCGGCATCTATGGAGCGATTGCTAATCAAAGTCGAGGCTCTTAGGGATCTATTGCGCGAAAGACCCGCCGGTCTGGTGTTATCCCATGTTCAGCATTCATTGCAACAAGACCAAACTCCCTCCCTCCGCGCCACCGGCAGCGGCATGGTGGGTGGTGCACACTCCATCGGCTGTGGTGTCAAGGGCGCTGTGGCCATGGCAGGCACCGAAGTTGACATTGTGGGCAACCAAGAGAAGGCAGGAACATGCAGCAGGCATCTATGCTGAATGTATATATCACTGTTGCTGAAGACCTGAAGTGCAAATGGATAGCAATTACACTCCATGCCTTTGCTGACTGTTTTGTTTGCAAAAGGGCAAGTGGCACAATGCCTTTAAGTAACTTTAATGGTTGGGTGGCTGAGGAAGCTGACACTTGCACATTTGGTCGGGTTTTGTTTCCTGGCAGCATCATAACGCAATCGTCCGTACTAGGCACTTTGGCCAGTTGCTGAATAATGGTAGAGGCGTGGGACACCGTGCAGTGCAGAGTGATGTATATGTTGTTTAATCACATTATATATGCATACAGTTACATACACTATATTACTATATTTGATGTCATATCACTTATCACATTATTTTATAGCCGTACATAACATGTAAATAACCATGTAGCTGCTGCAAAAAGGATCAAAAAGGTACGCGTGCCGCTTGCCCTGAAACTGATTCTACTAGACACCAAGTGCAAGACACGAGGAGGTTAATTGACTTAGGGGATGAACGCATTCACAGGCCTGTAAAGCCATGACATTTCTGTTGCAAGTGACCCAACCAGTGTACCCCAAGCCCGAGCGATGGTAGCGGAGGGAGTCACCAGCTGCCGCTCTCCACCGTGCTGGAAGAATCCGCTGGAATCGAAGCAAACCTGAACCGAGTCATGTAAAGATCCAAAACTGCAAAGCAAACGTTCCAACACTCTCCTTTTTTGTTTTAAAGCCCGGGGGGATAGGCCGCTAGAGGTAGGTAGCTAGTAGTAGCTTGAGTAGCTACTACTGACAGGACGCAAGATAGCTCGCGCTAATGACTTGGTTCCTAGATTTCTAGGAAAACGTATGGCGGAGTTTGTTGTTGTTGCATGTTGTTGTTTTTGATATGTGTTCCTGTTGAGATGGTTTCTAAAGCAGCATCAAGAGCGAAAACAATCTTGTCTGCACACAAGTCGAATTATTTCCTATCCCATCTCAAACAAACTAACCCTAGAAGCTGTTATTCCTACATAATACGAGCTACAGAATGAGACTTTGTGTCGGCATTGGAGACTGGCCACGAGTTTGGGGTTTTGGTTTCAAGAACTGGTGCAGTTCATGGACAACGGGGAGTTGCAAATCAGTTTCAGTTATCGGTCAGTCATATATTATACAATATATATGTATATATATATAGTTCAGTGCCACCTGCTTATATAGAGAGGGGGTGGGACCTAGTCAATGGTTGTTGACAACCACCCTCGAGTTAAACAAGGAACGCCAGTGTCCCTGTTATGTTATAGTCTAGATGGGGCTTGTTCTAAGATTCTAAACCTTGGTTGCAGGGCATGACAAGTTCTTGCGTTTGCCCTTGCGCCTTCGTGCGCCTATCGGTGTTTTTGCATATTTTGAATGTTCTAATTGTTTTAGTACTGGCAGGCAAAAATGGCGCACCGGAGCCGGAAATTGCAAAAGTAGTAGTAGTGGTAGTGGTAGTGGTGGTGGTAGTAGTAGTGGTGGTAGCAGTAGCAGTAGCAGCAGCAGCACCAGTAGGAGTAGTAGTAGTAGTAGTAGTGGTGGTGGTGGTGGTGGCGGTAGTAATACTAATGGAAAAAATAGTCGTGAGGGAAAAGGGGAAAAGGAAGAGGAAGAGCAAGAGGAAAGTAAGGGAAAGGAAGAGGAAGGAAGGGCGGATTCCCCGTAAAAACACTGAAAACAATAGGTTTTGCTTCAAGAGAGGAAAAAAGGAAAGGGAAGAGGAAGAGCAAGAGGAAAAGGAAGAGCGGATTCCGCATAAAAACACTAGGTTTTGGCTCAAGGGAAGGGAAAAAGGAAAATGAAAAGGAAAACAAGAACAAGAGGCAAAGGAAAACGAAGGATGGATTCCGTATAGAAACGTTGAGGCGCTTAAAACGTCGAGGCGCATCCCGCAGGCGCGTCCCGCGCACGCATGTCGCCAGCCGCGTCTCGCAGGCGCGTCCACAGGCGCGTCCCCCAGGCGCGTCCCCAGGCGCGCCTGCAGCGCGTCCCCTTTCAGTACTAGTATAGTCGTCTTGTAGCAGTAGTAGTCGTCGTCGTAGCGGTAGTAGTAGTAGTAGTAGTAGTAGTAGTAGTAGTAATAGTAGTAGTAGTAGTAGTAGGTGTAGGTGTAGGTGTAGGTGTAGGTGTAGTGGTGGTGGTAGCAGTAGTAGTAGTGGTAGTAGAAGTAAGTAAGTAAGTAAGTAAAGTAAAGTAAAGTAAAGTAAAGTAAAAGTAAAAGTAAAAGTAAAGTAAAGTAAAGTAAAGTAAAGTAAGGTAAGTAAGTAAGACAGTAGCAGTAGCAGTAGCAGTAGCAGTAGTAGTAGTAGTAGTAGTAGGTAGTAGTAGTAGGTAGTAGTAGTAGTAGTAGTAGTAGCAGTAGTAGTAGCTATGAGATATATAGACCTTGCGCTCGCCCTTGCGCCTTCTTGCGCCTACCAGGTAAAAACAACAAAAATTCTGATCAATCTTTCTGCGTAGTGCTTTCATACTGTCTCACTTTAACGCTGCTCATGTTTGACCATCCTGGTGATTGGGCAACGTCAACCATCAATGCGGATGGCACTCAAACCTCTTGCGCTTCCTCACGCAATTTACAGCCCGTCCAATGGCAATATATTGCAGGTCTCATCAGGTCTCTTTAATTCTGTACATTTCCATCCTTACCACCAATCAACAAATACGCCCGCCCTGCCTCCATTAAAAAAGTGAAGCGCCGGTTTTGTTAACAGGAGAATTCCCAAAATGAGGGGACCTGCAAAAAATTGAACTCTAGGAAGAACTTCAAAACCAAAAAGTCGCCTACGGACATTCAATTAAGAAATTGAAAGCAAAACCTCTAGATCGAGGGGTCTTCCTTTGTCTTTTGCAAACTCTTAATGATGTTTCAACGCTCTTTGCTTGTCACATTCCATCAGAGTAACAACGAAAGATTTCGACAGGTGGTGTTGCCGTGCCATGCGGTTTGCGAGGCCTTGGTGGAAAGGGCGTGTGCGTCGTTCTTGCCAGTGGGGAAAGGTTCGCATTGCGTGTGCAAGTTCGGCGTGTCGCTAGTGAGCACGATAGGAAGTGATTCTAGTGGGTGGGTACCTTAAAAAAATCGGCAAAAAAATTACCAGGTAGTCGTAGAACAAGTAGGCGGTAACTTGTATGAAACTATAAATAGGATACTTTGCATCATTAAGATGTATTAAGGGCCTCCGACACGTGTTTTTCCACACGTCGGGTGAGGTCTGTTAGATTTTATGTCAGCTACCGTCCTTGTCCTGCTCCTTCTCCTCCGCCGCCTCCTCGTCCTCCGCCTCAACTGCGAGGGTCGTGTGGCAGTGTTCCCCGCCGGACCTCAACTGCAAGGGTCTTGGGGCGGGGTTCCCCGCCGGACCTCAACCGCGAGCTCCAGCTGGCAATGTTCCCCTTGCGAGGGTCACATGGAGTTCTGCACCGGACCTCAACCGCGAGGGCCGCGTGGCAGTGATCCTCGCCACACCTCAGCCGCGGGCTTCGGCTGGCACCTCAACCGTGAGTCAGAGGATATGCCAGACAGAACGCCAGAAAGAATGTCAGAATGAGTGTCAGAAGTTAAAACTAAAGTCAGAAAATATGCCAGATGGAATGCCAGAATGAATGTCAGAAGATATGCCAGAAAGCATGTCAGAAGAGATGCCAGAAAGAATGTCAGAAGATATGCCAGAAAGAATGCCGAAATATTGTTTCAATACTCATGGTGGGGATCACTCGAAGTAAAGTAAGTTGATGTGTTTTGTATGTTTGGGTCCTGTTTCTTTTTGTTTAACAGGTACTTGGGATTGCTTGCTAGGAGGCTGAGCAGAACGGCCAGGAAAAAGCTGGTTACAGCTGGTCCCTCTCCCCATCCTCTCGGGCGAACAAAGAAGCACCTCTTGCCAAGCGTCAATCCTGTTAGGCAATTGAATTGACCGTTTACTCTGGGTAAACTTCTGAGACTGCGATGTCCATTCACAAGGAAATCAAAAGATATTCTGCATCGCCGTCCTTTGGGGGACGCGATGTAGAATGGCTTCATTGGCTGTGGTCGGATGATCGTGTTCGGGAAGACAAATTGTATCCAATTGTGCTTGCATTACAGATTCATCTTGAAATAACATGCCATTGCACACATTTGAATTTTCATATAGATGCGAATGCTACAGTAGTAATTGTAGATCAGCAGGCGCCTACTTAATTATCAAGTAAGGAGGCAGGGCCACGGGCTACTCCAAAAGGTTGACCAATATTGCTCCATTCCATCTGACGATTGCTCGACTGAAATCAAAGCTTCAGTCCACCATCTACCCCTCGAAACCTCCCCAGTGTCTGGCTGCTTTGTTTCGTTCAAAGGATCAATATGCATCTGCACCTGCCTGCCATCACCTACCTGATCCTACCAGTACCCGTCTCTCCTCTCTGCTTCCAAGTGGCGCTTTCGGTGTGGTCCACGCTCAAAAGCAGGCTTGACTGGGCGGTTGAAACGCCCTTAGACAGCGCGGCATGCAGAAGCTTCTTGACGAAAGGTGCTGCCAAATTGGAAAGACCTTCATTTAATAGCAATTGTACACATATATAGTATGCCAGTAATATTCAGCTGACACGATTTCTACTTCTACGTTCCGCAATTCATTAGAAACTCAAGTCTGCAGACCCTGCTCTGGAGAATAGCACCAAGACACTCACTAAGAGTATACAAATCAATATAGTAGCAAGGCTTCACAAGGCTTCACCTGTTTTGCGCTTCGGCAAGTCTGTCGAGTCGTTGTCTTCAGTCGTGGTGCCTACAAAATATCTCGCCATTCCGATGTAATGTGTTCTTGCAGCTGCACCCAGGCTTTGGTAAATTCATCGAGCCAAAGCTTCTCATCAGCTGCATACTGTTGCACATGCACCTTAAAGTTTGGATCGTTTACAAGAGCCATATCAGTAGACATCATGACTGCATCTCCACACCTGAACTGAGGCGTGCCATTTTGGCTTGTCTCTTGTTCCCACTGCTTGGTGAGCAAATCCTTGAAGTACGAATTATCAAATCTTCTGGCTCCAAAGTCAGCACCCTCAACGTGACACATTCCGCAAACATTTGCCCCAAGCACTGCCACCATGGCCTTCTCTTCGAGGCCCTTTGGGCCCAGAACGTCTCTGATGTACTTGGCATCCTTCTCACCATCCGGCAACATTACATCATCCTCACTCCTGATGTCTAGCCGGCCAAAGCGTGTTGGAATTTCTGGGCCTCCTAGGGCCTTAATGGCTGTATTTGCCGCCAAGGCTGCCAAGTCTGCATGGGAGATCAGTCTGGGCACATACTTCTGTGAAATCGCCTTGAGAAATCCCCTGGCCGCCTCAAGCCAGGGAATACCATGGGGCTTTTCGCCGGCATAGAAAATGCACTTGTGATGCCACGAAAGACGAAGCATGAGCGGCCCACAGCCCTTGCTGGTAATTAGTTTTTCCAAGTCTACGACGAGGTACTCGAAGTTGAGGCATTTGCATAGAGTTAACTCCTGGAAGCAAGCAACTGGACATCTGGACATCCGAAAATGAAAAGAATCCTCTGTCGTTATTCCAAATGATGTTCACTGACCATGCGTTCTTGGGGGTCTCGTTTTAATTTACGTGCCGAAAACATTACAGTACTGTAAATGAGTCCATGTAAGGGACAGGCATGTTGATATCCCATATCCTTCTTGGTGACCTTTAGTAAAGTATTGAATAGTGACCTGTGAATAGTAAACCAAGCACAGGGGGAAAAGGGAAGGCATCCAGTCCCAAAACTTCTGACATTATATAGAACCATTTCTTTAAGAAATGGTCACGTAAGTCAGTCTGTGTGTGTGTGTGTGGGGGGGGGTCTCGCTGTTTCGCAATCAGGGAAAACATCAAAAAGACTTTGTCAAGTCTAGGGCTCAAGTTCCATATCTGTCTTGCACCTGTCCAGCATCGCGGCCACGTCACCGGTTACTCCATTCACCTTCAAGATGCTGTCACCTTTACCTGGAATTGGCAAAAGAATCACCAAACCCACAGGGGAGAACAACATCCTATGATGATCTATGATGTGGGTACAGGACATGAGGAAGTGGCCAGCATGCCATTTCCATGGGTCAGCTACATCAGACTGCATTATATGAAATGAAATACTGAAAAATTACATACTGACCATCTATAAAATAATGATCATCAAAGACAACAGTAGCAAGTTGAGGTGGTCTTTGATTCGACGGTCTTTAGCTTTCCGAGCTGCTGATTTGAAGCTCGGGATGTTCTTGATTCCAGATCTCCGCCACCCCACCAGTGACTGTCATGATGGGTAAGACTTTTCTTTCTGCCATGAAGTCCACATCAAGGCCCAGCTTTCGGTCACCTGGGGCTGCTCAACACCCCACATCTCCAATATCATATAATTGCTAAATTTATACTTGTACTGGTACTGTACGATTGTGAACCAACCTACAACATATTACAGTAATGACTCTGACAATGAGCCTAAGTCTTCTCATTTGAGAAGCCAGGAGCCTCTGAAAATTGATATTGATTCCTGATTACACATCACCCATGATCCTAATCACAACATGATCTTTTGTACAACTGTTCAATTCCGTCCCTTGCCTGATTTTGTGAGCTTCACGGTGTAAAGTCGTTCCTTCTCCGTAGTGCCACCTGTCACCAAGGGCAGCGCCAAGGAGCTATCCAAGGCCGGCCGCGCCTCAACGGTTGCATCCGAGCTTGGGGCGGTGTCGGTCTTGCAACACGTCGCGCCCATGGTGACGAAAGAGGGTGCCTGGAGCAAACGAACTAAGATGCAATGGCAGTAGGCCCGGTAGGCACCAAACTCTGATGAATCAGCACATCTTGAGCCAATGAAACAGAAGTCTCTTCATTTGGAGTTTAAAGCAGCGGAAAAAGGTCTTCTATGTCTGTCTTTCATTGGCCATCAAAATCATCACACACAGCTTCCTTCGGACAAGCGCCCGTGTTGGAGCAGTGCAAAACTGTTCGATATCTGAGGACCCTCGCTCGCGCTGTGAGAGCTCTCACAATTTTGCAGTTTGACCCACCCCTGCTTCTACGAAGCAAATTGGCATTTGGTACCAACTTGCTACAAGTAGCAGTTAGCTAGTGAGATATGCTGCAATTGCACATGTTGCCCAGATTCCACGACGTTGGATCTGACCAAGGACCCCACCACTCGCACCACTTGTCGTGGCTCGGGTCCCTGGGTGCGGCCCCGGGGCTCGAAGAAGCTCTGTGCCTGGAGGCAACAACGCCGACTGTTGAGGTGGCAACACGTGCCACGTCTTCGTCTTCGTCTAAAGAAGCTGAAACCACCTGTTTAGGACTGTGTAGTATGTATATACCAGTAGAAATTAAGCATGTGGTTGGGGAACTCCAACATGGATACACTCAGTCCTTCGCTCCTCCAAGCCAACTAGAGAAAGTTCACCTGCCTCTGCAATCATGACCTCGAAGAAATAGCGCCCAGCCTGCTACGGCTCGAAATGGAATAGCCATTTTTTGTGGAAAAAAACTTCTTTTTTTTTTTCGCAGCCTCATCGCGAAGAATGATCCTAAAGCGCGTAGGTTGAGGGTTGCCACCGCTAGCTACTGGCAGAGCAGTATCATGGGTCCTGGAGGCTTAGAATAGGCGCAACACAGGGTGATGCAGCTCGGGGAATGTTCGGGGGCCGGCATAACATGTACAAGCATCTGCACAGCCCGTCAGAGCTGCGAGTCGTTGCCTCACTGTCATTGTTATGCAAGGGTGATGCAGTTGCAGTTTGTGAGCTTAAGACAATCCTGTATGCACTGTCAGGGCTGTGCAAGGACAGGAATCGGAGAATCCTTTACGCATTGCGAGGGCTGGGCAAGGAATCGTTCAGGCTTCAGTTCGATAGTCTGTGAATGTCTGTGACAGTGGGGACGTGCGGGGACGCTTGGAGGATTGCCTTGTACTTCTAGCATTTGTCGGCCGGTAGAAAGGACATAATATGAAAGCGAAGACATTCGATCAATTCTTGCGAGGGTAAAAGAGATGTTCGCGAACCTCATTGCGGATCTTTCGCGGACGGTTTGGACAGCATCTAAAAGGTCTATAAAGGCCATATAAAACCCATTGCACGGACCTTTAAATCAACTCCCATACAGTCCGAGAATGCAACAACTACCTCAAGGAGGTCAACCAAGAAAAACTTCAACGCAAAAACAAAATACGAGGCTCAATCAGTCCTATGCATTCTCAATATGCAATTTAACTGTTCTTTAACCTTTGGGTCGTGTCTGAAGTTTGCACAAGGATCCAGCAATGCAATCCAAAAAAAGTTGTCTTACAAAGACTGTGGCTCAATGCCACTGCATTGTTTGGCTCCTGAAAGCTTGTTCGACCCCTGCCCCTGGCCATATCTGAGACTTGCACCTTTATGCCCACGTTGGCGCGAGCCCCAGCCATTAAGTACTGGAAGCCTCCTTCACCAAGGGCCTTGTGGATGGACCGCGTGTCGCGATTTGAAAAAGGAACAACTTTGTTTGGGTTGGTTTTTGATGCTGCCAGTTTTTGCTACCTTGAAGTCTACTCATCGCCGCCCTCATCTCTTGTGAGTGAGGGATTCTGTGAGAAATTCTGCACATCTCCCTCGTGACTCTTGGCCGGCAAAAACCCAACCGTTTAAGCACAATGCCGCCAAACACTTCTATACACAAGTTTTGTGCTACGGCACCGTATGTAGATGAAGATTGATGTACAGTATATAAGCACAGTAAAGCAATGTTTACAAGCTTGGAATAGTTGGAAGCACCAAAGCACCAAGCTGATCCAATCCTAGGCTCACCAGCCGTCAAAAGCTTCCCATTCACTGTGGGCAAAACCTCAAGATCACTGCCAACTGTTTGGTACATGCAGGAGATGGGGTGCTGTATGCCAACACCGCCGATCATTATGTGACTATATATATATATAGGTGCGCGCAAACCTAAGCAAAACTCGTATGTTCCTATCTTACTGTGCCAAATTTCTATATGCAATGTGAATGTGTTAAATCAATGATAAGCATTATTCGTTTGACTCGTCTTTGTTCAATATCAATAACTGCCTGGTAACTTGTATTCATTTGTTCTCAATATCGGTCAAAGCTGTTTGGCGTTAAATCTTAAAAGGATTGATATCAAATATGCAGGCTTCAGCTTCAACACTCTCCCCTCAGCAACTTCACCTTGATCCCAAAAGACATTTCTACTGCTCCAATAGATGTTATATGCTATGATTGATTCGTTCTATTCATCCATCTGTGCTTTATTTTCTTTGATGTCCTTTTTTCACTGGCAAAGAACAATCCAAGTAACACATATGTAATTGCTGTATGAGTTTGGCATTGGCTGGCATCTTGTCCAAACCAATAGAAAAAAAGAAGCATGACAAAGCAACCAAAAATAGTACATACTACTGACTAGAAACTTAAGACTTGTCGATCACCTATGGCGATTCCAAAAGCCTATGTTATCAGGCTTGAACCAACATGGTCATGTGCTTTTAAGTCCTATGTCATCAGGCCACAACCACCGCAATCCATGGAAAAATGAGGCGTTCAGTGAAGATGTTTGATGTTTTACTTGTGGAGGCGTCCAAAGGTGGCACCAGGTTTCTCCACCCAGACATTCTGTATTGCTCAATGTGTGAGCGCAAATGACCTAGCCCTCTGGGTAGTGTGGGTATGTCACTTGAACCACATTTGCCTAAGTCACTAGTCAGTAGTATATAATACAGTATATATATAATTGTTTGCGATGACATAGAATCAATCAAACTTCTTGTGCCTAGTCTAGCTCCGTACCTTCTTAGAAAGAGCTGAGCCAAACAAAACAACTTGACCAAGAAGAAGGCCTTGTGAAGATTGAAGCCCTGCTCAATGTTAAAACACATTTTGAACGTGTAGAACACCTTAAGCAAGACAGATACAACCTACTGGAGCAATAGACACACTTATTGAGACAGGACACCAGAATTGTTAATTTGCTGCCTGGATAAAAGTTCATGGATGCTGTTGTAATTTGCTCTATCTCATTAGCTTCTTTAGTATTATGTCGGGCACGCCAGCCATAGATACAAGGAACCAAAATAGTTTTATAAAGCAAAAACAAAGCAAAAAAAAACAAAAGGCAAAGCAAACAAAAAAACAAAAACATGTAGTTGTGCGTATTTGTGTTCTTTTTCATTTTTGTTTGCTTTATTTTCGCATTTTGTTCGCTTTATTTTCGCATGTTTTCGTTTTTTTCCTAGGAGGGTACAGTTTTTTTTCGCTTTTGTTTTTGCTGTACCCTCCTAGGAAAAAAACGAAACAAAAGCGAGAAACATGCGAAAATCAAGCGAACAAAAATGCGAAAATAAAGCGACAAAAATGAAAAAACGACAAATACGCACGGCTACATTTTTTGTTTGTTTGCCTATTATTGCGCTTTGTTTTTGCTGTGTTATTTGCTTTTGTTGTGCTTTGTTTTTGTTTTTTGCTTTGTTTTTGCTTTGTTTTTGCATTTTCATTTGTTTTTATGTTGTTTTTCCACGTTTTTCACAAAAAACTATTTGATGGTTGGCCATGTATGGCTGCCATCGCCCAACATAACTTTAGTAATGCGTTCCTTTATTTAAGTATATTTAAATCTTAATGCTCTTAAGAAGGCAATGTTTAAAACACAAGAAAATCCGTGTGAAGGTTGAAACGGTTTCCTTTTGGCGCTCAGAACTCAACCTTAAATGCGTTTGTGCATATAGATATTACACCACCGTATACCCTTTTCAAAACTGGAACACTCTGCAACTAGAGCTTGCGACGTCCAGAGCTGGGAGACAAAGGATTGCAAGGCAAAGGCGGATACAGCAGCCTAGGCCTGGGAGACACATGCAAAGGATTGCGAGGACAAATGTAAAGGATTGCAAGGCAGAGGCGGACACAACAGCCCAGAGCTGGGAGACACATGTACAGGGTTTGCAGGGCAAAGGAACAGCAGCCCAGAGCTGGGAGACAAATGTAGACACAGGGAGACACATGTAAAGGATTGCAAGCGACATGCAACCCAGTGCTGGGAGACAAATGTACAGGATTGCACTGGGAGACAAGTGTGAAGGGTTGCAAGCGAGAGGGGCAGAGGCGGACGGACACTGCAACAAGCTGGCAAACACAGGAGACCAGAACAACCGAGACAAGGCGGACAATGACCAACAACAATCCTTTACATATGTGTCCTCCAGCTCTGGACTGCGCAATCCTTTACTCTGGCTGCTGTGTCCGCCTCTGCCTTGCAATCCTTTACATGTACTGCTCTGTCCGCCTCTCGCTTGCAATCCTTTACATGTCTCTCAGCTGCTGAATCCGCCTACGCCTTGACTGCTGCGTCCGCCTTTGGCTTGCAATCCTTTACGTTTGCCACCCAGCTCTGAGCTGCTGGACAAGAAGGGAAATAAGAAGGGAAAATTACACCACCGTAGACCCCAAACAGTTTGTGTTTTTCAACATGAACACTCTGCAACTAGAGCTTGCGATGTCCAGAGCTGGGTGACAAAGGATTGCCAGGCAGAGGCAGCCACAGCAGTCCAGAGCTGGAAAGCAAATGTAGACACAGGAGACAAATGTAAAGGATTGCAAGCGACATGCAGCCCAGAGCTGGGTGACATGTACAGGATTGCAAGGCAGCGGCGGATACAGCAAACAAGAAGGGAGACAAGAAGGGAGACAAAAGGAAACAGAATCAATAGAAATGCTACATGGCCAGCGGAAAAGGGCGGACACCAGCAGTGACAGACCTGGGAAACAAATGAATAGAAGTGCTACATGGCCACCACCACCAGTGACAGACCTGGGAGACAAATAAACAGACATGTTGCAATTGAATAGACTTGAGAGAGGAGGGGATGAACGAAAGGTAGCAGGCAATCACATGTAACCCTGGTAGAAGTCCATGACGGCGTGAACCGGCGCAGGGGGGATTTGATCCAGGGCCCCCCCCCCCGACGAACAGAATCATCTCTTACAGGACCAAATTCAATGCACAATCCCAACTCCTGATTGTAATACATTTTTGCTAAAGCCAGGAGAACTCAGGTAGCTCAAGCTACCTTTCGTGAAATGCTACATGGCCAGCGGAAAGGGGCGGACCTCAGCAGCGACAGACCTGGGAGACAAATCAATAGAAATGCTACATGGCCAGCGGAAAAGGGCGCACACCACCAGTGACAGACCTGGGAGACAAATGAATAGACATGTTGAAATTGAATAGAAATGCTACATGGCCAGCGGAAAAGGGCGGACCTCAGCAGCGACAGACCTGGGAGACACATGAATAGAAATGCTACATGGCCAGCGGAAAAGGGCGGACACCAGCAGTGACAGACCTGGGAGACAAGTGAATAGACATGCTACATGGCCAGCGGAAAAGGGCGGACACCAGCAGTGACACAAAGGGCGGACACATCTCAAGAAGGAATTGAAAACCTCTAACAGTAAACTGTTTGGGGAAAAGGAAACAGAAGGGAGACAAGCCGGACACAGTGACCAACAAGAAGGGAGACAAGAAGGGTGAGAAAAGGAAACAGAAGGGAGACAAGACGGACACAATAACCAACAAGAAGGGAGACAAGACGGACACAATGACCAACAAGAAGGGAGACAAGACGGACACAATGACCAACAAGAAGGGAGACAAAAGGAAACAGAAGGGAGACAAGGCGGGCACAATGACCAACAAGAAGAGAGGCAAGAAGGGAAACAAAAGGAAACTGAAGGGAGACAAGGCGGACACAGTGACCAACAAGAAGAAGGGAGACAAGACCGGAGACAAGGCGGAGACAGTGACCAACAAGAAGGGAGACAAGCCGGACGGAAGGCGGACACGCTGTCCCGCAGCAAGGCGGACACTCTTAGAAAGCATTGAGAACCCCTAACAGCAACCTGTTTGGGAAAGTAAAGACATCACTTGGGAGACAAATGAATAGAAATGCTGCAAGGCTGGCACCAGCAGTGCAGGCACCGAACCTGGGAGACAAAAGTAAAGAAATCACATGGGAAACAAATGAATGGAAATGCTGCATGGCCAGCGGAAAAGGGCGGACACCAGCAGTGCAGG